TATGAGACCACCAGAAAGGGAGAAAAAAACATACTGGCAGCCTGTGAAATAGAAACACCACTTGGAATGGATTGTGTTAACATTGATCCATGCCAACAGAAATGGAGAAAGGAGTCAGTTGGGTACAACATTAGGCCTATAATTCCATAGGATAGGGATGGTACATCCAAACTTCACTTTCAGTTCCACTAAGAGAGGCCATTCAATTGAAGGAAGCATGTGTCCCTGGGTATATTTAAAGGATTAAAGGTGAGTGCAAAAGGCCCAAGAAATGAGAGAAACAAATGAACACACAAATGAGCAAAAATAGTGAAACCTTGATTGTCAAAGAGAAAAACCAATGGGAACAATTACTGATAGGCTGGTAGGAAAAGATCAGGGAGCCTAATTCCCTCCAAATAAACTCACAGTGATTTCACAAGATGTCGTTTGACCAATGCTGTGAATATACCAAAGCTGAAACAGACTGAGGTCCAGCCAACAATATAAGTTCTCCAGAAACATTATTTCTAGTTTTTTTTTTCTGAACAAAAAGAGAGAGTATTTCTATACACACAACAAAACAGAAAAACAAAGTTGGGTATGGAGAGTTCTATTACACATCTCTTGCTTTAAAAAATGTATATAATAAACAAGTTATATTCGGAATTGCCCTACTTGTCAGTTTTCTCCTTTGAACTTCATTCTGTTCTCTTCAATGCTTTTTTAAAAAAATTATTTATTTTGATTTATCAACAATCACTTCCATAAACTTTTGAGTTTTAAATTTTTCTCCTCCTCCCACCTCACCTCCCTCCCCAAGACGGCACGCAATCTGATATAGGCTATATATATACATTCCTATTAAACATATTTTCACATTAGTGATGTTGTAAGTAAGAATTAGAACCAATAGGAGGAACCACCAGAAAGAGCAAACAAAACTCAACAGAAGAAAAAAATATCAAACAGTATGCTTTGATCTGCATTCAAACTCCACAGTTCTTTCTTTGGATGTGGATAGCATTTTTCCATCATGAGACCTTCAGAGATGTCTTAGATCCTTGTATTGCCAAGAAGGGTTAAGTCTATCAAAATTAGTCATCGCACAACGTGGCTGTTATTGTGTATTACGTTCCCCTGGTTCTGCTCACTTCTCTTAGCATCAGATTATACAAGTCTTTCCAGGGTTTTCTGATGTCTGCCTACTCATCATTTCTTATAGCACAATAGTATTCCATTACATTCATATACCACAACTTGTTCAGCCATTCCCCAATTGATGGGCATCCTCTCAATTTCCAATTCTTTGCCACCACAGAAAGAACTGCTATAAATATTTTTTTAAGTGTGGGTCTTTTTCCCATTTGTATGATCTCTTTGGGATACAGCCCTAGAAGTGCTATTGCTAGGTCAAAGGTCTTCAATGCTTTTTTAAAAACGTTTCAATGACCCTTGCTTTTGTATCACTCTTGCTAACTTCATCAATCCCAATAGTATCCAGTATTAAAAAAGAAAGAAAAACAAAGCCTTTGCATCATATAAACATATTGAGGCAAAATTAATCAGAGTAGTCCCCATGCCTGCCTACAAATACGTATGTCTCTTTCTGCACCTTGACTCCATTACTTTTGAGTCAGAGGGTGGGTAACATACATCATCATAATTCCTTTCAAGACGTGGTTGATCATTACATCGATCAAAGTTCTTCTTTGTGTAATTGGTTTTCTTTGCGGTGTTGTTGTCCTTGTACTGCTTGCACTGGTTCTGCTCACTTCACTCTGCATCAGTGAATGCTACTGAGGATTCTCGATAGAATAATCTCTTTTTATTGTTTCTTACGACGTGAGAAAGTTCTATTGTATTTGTAGGCCTCAATTTGTTCAGCCATTCCCAAATTGAAATCTTCCTTAAATGCTAATTCTGTCACCTCTTTTGGGTCCTTTTAATGCCTGATCAGGATCAAGAAATTTTATTTGCTTGCAACCATTTGCCACCTCCTAACTCCCAAGAGCAGCTAGGTGGCATGATGTATAGAGCACTGGGCTTAAAATCAAGAAGATTCATCCTTATGAGTTAAAATCTGGTCTCATACACTTACTAGCTCTGTGACCCTGGGCAAGTCACTTAACCCTGTTTGTCTCATTTCCTCTTTTGTAAAATGACCTGGAAAAGTAAGTGGAAAACTGTTCTAGTGTCTTTGCCAAGAAAACCCTAAGTGGTGTCACAAAGAGTTTAATATGACTGAAAAACAACAGAACAACCTCCTACACCCTCACCTTCCCTCCCTGTTGAATTTGATGTATATTTATTCCAAACTATTTGAGTGTGTTCAATCATCCTTTACCTGTTTCAGATAAATGTGAGCTTCCTGTGAAGCCTGCCTCCCCACCCATTCCTCTAAATTTCTATACTTTTCTAACACACTCCAGTAATAAGGAAATATTAAGTTCCACCTCTTTCTTCCTTATTTCTACAATAATGTATGGCTTTTATCCTCCATTTTCTTTCTGTTCTTAAAAACTGCAGAGTAGAACCAGTCCACCTCTGTTTTTTCTTATGTACTTCCATACAGATACCTTGCCACCTCCTAACTCCCAAGAGCAGTTAGGTGGCATGATGTATAGAGCACTGGGCTTAAAATCAAGAAGATTCATCCTTATGAATTAAAATCTGGTCTCATACACTTACTAGCTCTGTGACCCTGGGCAAGTCATTTAACCCTATTTGTCTCATTTCCTCTAAGGTTCTGAAGGAATATTTGTTTTTTCTCTCCCTATTAGGATGTTAGCACTATATCATCATGCAGTTCTGTCTAGTTGTTCAAATACATTTGCCTTTCAAGGTTTCTCTGGATCTGTGTGCTTATATTTCAAAGTTCCAACCTAACTCTGGTAATTTTGTGAGAAATTCTGTATGGTGCTTTTTTACCATTAAAAGTTTGCTTTTCTAGTATAGCATTGTACTCAGTATTGCGGGGTAGGTAATTCTTGGTTGTAAACCTATATATTCTTCATTTTGAAATAGTGCATTCCATGATTTCTCGTGTAGGAGAAGTTGCCAGGTTTTGTGTTATCCTAACCATAGATCCTTAATCCTCAAACTCCTTTTTGGATGATTGCTCTATTTTTTTTTCTTAGAGAAGCTCTGGGTTTTGGTTATGATATTCCTGATGCTTTTCCTTCTGTGGTTTCTTTCTGGAGTTGATCAGTGGCTTCTCCACTTTGCCCTCTGGTTCTAAAATATCTGTGCAATTTTCACCTATTATATTCTTCGAATATAATGTTCACATTTTTTAAAAAGTCATAAATTTCAAGGAGTTGTATGATTTTTAAATTATGTCTCTGCAACTGGTAGAGCATCACTAGCTGAAAAAAACTGGGGAAAACGTTACACTAATTTTCTTTGGTAAAGGACTCATTTGTCAAATATGTAGGGGACTGAGCCAAACTTTCAAGAATAAGAGCCATTCCTCAACTGATAAATAGTCAAAGGATATGAACAGTCAGTTTTCAGAAGAAGAAATCAAAGCTATCTATAGTCATATAAGAAAAACTTCTCTAAATCACTACTGATAAGAAAAATGCAAATCAAAACAACTCTGAGGTACTACCTCCCACCTGTGAGACTGGCTATTACAAGTGTAAAGAAAAATTACAAATGCTATTTAGAGCATGGAAAAAATAGGTATATTAATGCATTGTTGGTGGAGTTGTGAATTGGTCCAATCATTTTGGAGAGCTATTTGGAGCTATGCCCAGAGGACTATAAAACTGTGCATTCCCTTTGACCCACTACTAGGTGTATACCCCAAAGGAATCAAAGAAAAGGGAAAAAGACTCACAAACAGAAGAGTATTTATAGCAGCTCTTTTTGTGATGGCAATTTCTAATCTGTTTCCATTACCACTTGTTGTTCCTTGGGTTTTCTGGAAAAACTTGGTCTGTTGTTGGGTTATTTAGGAACAGTAAGCATCATGAATTATCAATATTGCTCTAAGAACTTTTTCCTTCTAGTTCTCTTATCATCTCAAACCCTATACCACAAGCAGTAAGTAGATGACTTGAAAAAGCTGGTGGACATAAAATTTTCAAGACATTTTGTTCAGAGGTGATATTGAGGCCTTGTCTATTCCACATTGTGTGGAAATGCCAACTCTTTCCTTGGCCACAATGGTTCATCTGCCCAGGGAACTACTTGACAGAGAGGGTTGATGGCTTCCAAATTCACAATTCAGATCAATTTTTCATCATTATAACATTAGTGTTCTTCCATGAATTCCAGGAAAGGACTGCTGAATTAAACTACTACCATTTCAAATAACAGGTCTGTTATAATGGAACCCCATAAAAATGCAATGTGTTCTTTTTTTCCCAAAAGAGCATACTGAATGTGTAGTGTGCCAGTGTGATAAAGTTTCAACTCAATCAACAACAGTCCTCATTTATTAAGCAAACTACAATGGACCAGGATTTCTAGGGTCTAGGAATGGAGTCAGAGAGTGAGCTAGCATTTAAGCACCTACTATGTGCCAGGCACTTATGCTAACCTCTGGGGATACAAAGAAAGGCAAAAAGTCACCAGCAAGAATTAAATAGTGTCTGCCTTCAAAGAACTTCCATTCTATCAGTGGATCCAGCTTATACACATATTATATTTTGCAGACCCATGATTTCACCTCTATGTCTGCCTACAGGAATCACAATTTTCACTGAGCTACAATTCTGGTCAGTCATTTAGAGTACTGACAGGTTAACTGCCTTGTCCATGGTCACCAAGAAGGAACTGGAACCTGGGTGTCCCTCACTCCAAGATGGCTCTTCTCCTATTGTGCCATGTTGCAAGTGGGTTTCTGAATATATAGAAATTCCTACGTATGATACGTCCTTTCACCATAACATGCCAGTTCTAAAAAGCCAGCTCTGCTTCTTAAACCAAGAAGCTTCACATCTTTTTCTTCTTATGTTATTCTCATCTACATATGAATCAAAATGGAAGAATGGAAAAAAGGACAACAGAAATTCCATAAGCTGTGAACTGAATTTATAAAATGGAGAGTGCAATGGAGAACATCAGTCCTTTGGAAGAATGGTTCATGTTAATCTAGCAAGGTTGGCGCTACTATCTCATGCTCAATAATAGAGGCTGACAACTAGGCAGATAGAGAGATTCACCAATTTGTAGATTCATGGACAGCTCGAGTCAGTCTTCCAGGCAAAGCTACAAGGAAACAAAAAATGTTGCCTTGGTTAGGTTTTATTCCACAATATTGTTTTAGGAGCAATCTGTTCCTATTATTGTTGCTATGAGCTGTTAAGGCTACTCAGGAGCAAACTCCATGGAGGTTGTTATATTTTATATTTTGGATTTTATATTTGATTCTGGACATAGTAGAACCACTAGAATTTATTGGGAGGGGGCAGGGAATTGAATAAGCACCATGGTCACAGCTAAGTTTTAGGTGTATCCTTTGGTAACCCAATGGAGAATGGACTCAGCAAAATCTTCTGCAGGAAAAGAGGCATTCAGATTCTGGCTGGTTCAGGTCATTCATCTATTGAGGGGGAAATTGGAAGTTCAGCCAGGAGGTTTTTTTTTTTTTAACTGCAAAAACAGGTATTCTTTCCATTGCACCATCCACCCACCATGTTGTCAGTGTGCACAACTTATCTTTTCCTGTGTTTATTGAGGTCCTCCTTGGGAGGCATTTTGGGGATTTCTTAATATGGGGGATTTCCAGGATTTGACCCATATCCACCGTTTGGAGGATATGAAGGTCCTCTAAGAAATGGACTATTTCCAGGATTTCCAGGACACGGAGGCCTTGGAGCAAATCCTTCAAAAAATGGCTTATAAAAGAAAGAAAAAATAACAAACATAAGGTTATGGCATTCTGCTTCATTTGTAATATTGTCAATTTCTCAGTATTCTTGATAACACTGAAAAAATAGGTATATACAAATGTGACAGGATTTGTAGAACTGCTCACCTATGACAGGGTTATTTGAATCACCTGACTCACCTGTTGGAGCTGTTGAGTAGACCTGACTTATGTATATATTTGGCCTTATTAGTACAATTACAGAAAATCTCTCAATCAACTAACCCACAAGCACTCATCAATTCTTCAAATATGATTTCTTTGATAAACTGGAGAAGTCTCATTCCCAAATACCAGTTATTCTTTTCATAGCCCCTGATTTAAAAAAAAAATTCAGACAGTTCTCTTTTCTCTATTTTCTCACAGTTGAAAAAAGAAACAGCAAACAGTATACTTTCCTCGACTCCATTGGGAGAAAGATGAAAAAGAAAAAGCACAGACTTTTCCTGATTCCACAAGGAGAAGATAACCAAAGACAGTGTTCATTACTGTAACTATTGGCTTCTCTGTTCTTATACATGATGTAACGGAAAGAAGTAAATACCTCTAGGATTAAAGGACCTGGCTTCAAACTCTGCCTCTACTGTCCACTGCCTGTGTGAACTTGGGTGAGTCATCTAATCTTGATGGGCCAAAGTTTTCTCAGTTATGAAATGAAGGGGTTAGATGAGATGGATTGTAAGGGTCCTCCCATCTCTAGATCTCTGATACTGTGAGAGGAGACACTGTGGCCTCTGAAGGGCCGAATTTAGAAACAAAGTTTATAGATGAATCTGCAGCAGGAGATTCCTAGACTGAGTGAGATGGGACCTTAGAAACCTGGTCCATCAACACTGAAATTTAGAATGGGGAAAGGGAAGTGACCTGATCAGTGTTACGGAGGTAATAAGCAGCAGATTGTACCCTGAGTGACTGGAAAGAATGACGACAGAGAAAAACATACTGAAATCCTTCTTTAAAATAAATTTCAAAGCATCTAAGAAATTTTTTCTCATGCTTGAAGGACATCGGCAGATAAACCCATCAACATGACATTAAAAATAAATAAAAAGAATTGTTCTCAGTTAAAAAAATCAATTTATTTTATGGACAGAACTGTTTATGCTTCAACTAGTTATCCTTGGTATTTGTTGGCAACCTGATATCTATGAAAATTTTGAGAAAATGCATTTTACTCAAATTCTTCAGATACAGACAGGAGTCAATAAAAGGGAGAACTCAGCTGTTTCATAGAAGACATGACAAAAATCCACTGCCGCTTAGTGATATGTGCATCGTGAAGCTATCATGTGTTATAGGCACATTTCTATTTAGCCACAAAATGTGGCTAAATTTAGCCAAAATGTGGCCAGAAATCAGTTCAGGGGCCAGAAGCTAGTGAATAGCAGAATAACTAGATCAAGTAGTTGGAATTTGAGGAGATATGTTAACTCCTCACTCTCCAAAACCAAACCAAACCAGACTGAGTCATTTCAGCCAATATTTGTTAAGATCTTCCTTTGTGCAAACCTCTAGGCATGTAAATGGGATCACTGAGACTCCATGAATGAGCAGAGAACCCTAAAACATCCCAGAATGCCTGGGATGTCTCTTGTGTTTGGAATGAGTTAGTGAAATCCTGTAGAATCTTTGGCAAAATGATGTACAATTTAGGGAAGCAGGGGGAAGAGGCTGAGTATGGGCTTCATTTCCGGCAGTAAAATTTTACCTTATTTAACATGATTATTGTAATGTAGCAATTCTATCCCAATCAATAAACATGGAAGACGAATGTGTACAGAGATTATGTACTCAGAGCTAGTAAACTCCTAGTAGGCTCATACTTAATGAATGGAACCAATATCTGTTTCTCCTTTATTTAAATCCACCTTTACTCAGGAACAATGAACAGTGATATATTGGGGGGGGGGAGTTAAAGATAAAGAAGTATACCAACATAAATTGCAATATGTTAAATCCAATAAATTACATGTTAAACACAATAAAATATAATTTTACCTTATTGTAAATATTCCACCTATAAGGCTTCTGTTAAAATAAAGGGGAAAAAATTAAAGATTTTCATTATTGAGTTTCATTTAGCTACTCTGCATTTGTTTGAAAATGTCCTACCTCTTCAGATGAATGGTCAGCTCACTTTGGAAAAGAAAAACATCAATAGATTCAACTATATGACATATTAAAACAAACAAAGAAACAAACAAACAAATACACTCAGTTAACTCTCTGGGTTATGGAATGAGTTTCCCCTGCCCTGCGGAAGAGCAGAATTTTGTCCCAAATATATATCGATAAACATTCATTGTCTTCACATTTGTTTGGGGAAATCTAGATTTTGTGTCTTCTAGGGCAGGAAAAATCTGGGAGTATGAAAGGAAGGGTTGCTTAGCTGAGGCTACAGGCACAAGGAAGTTTTCTAGCTTCTTCAGAGACTGATCGAGATAGTAAAAACGAAACAAAACAACAAATTAAAATGTACTAATCTGGACACATGGGAATGCCAAATCTCCAGATGCTAAAGGACCATTGTTGGAAAGAGGGATCAATCGCTCCCAACACCAGCCCCTTTTCCATTTCCCCAAGTACTTACGGCCAGGACAGCCAGAAGAGCCATAAGAAAGGCTACAAGATAGAGCTTCAGGGTTCTAGGCTCCTGTGGAATAGAGAGGACAGAAATCCCCGCTGCCTTTAGTCTGTTTTCTGCTTTGTGTCATATTTGTCTTTTCAATGAAGAAGAAGCTTAGGTAAAGAAGTTAACTCCCATTTCTGTGGTGCCATTGAGGTTTAAAGTGTTTTGATTCCAAGAACCTGATGAGCAAGTGTTATTTATTTTCAGTTTACAGATGAGGGAACTGAGTCTAAAAAACTCAGGTGACTTGTATCTATGTAGCTAGTGATTGTCAGAGCCAGAATTTGGATACAGGACACATCAAGGACTCATTGCACACAGCATGGACTCACAATGTCTATAGGTCTCCAGAAATTTGAGAAACAACATTTTTAAAAATTCAATTACATTTTATTTTCAGTTTCCGATTCTTTCCTTTTTTTGGGAAGGCAAGAAAATGAAGGCCATCACAAATATGCATAGTCATACAAAACCAATTCCCGTAATAGCAAAGAAAGGAAGAAAGAGAAAAAAGAAAGATAGTGAGGAAGCAATAAAGAAAGTAAAAAAGGAAGGAAAAAAGAAAGGAAGGAAGATAAGGAGGGAGGGGGAAAGTAGGAAGAAAGAAAGAAAGGAAGGAAGATAGGAAGGAAGGAAGGAAGATAGGAGGGAAGGAAGGAAGGAAAAAAGGAAGGAAGGAAAGCAGAGAGGGATCAAGGAGGTAGGGAAGAAGAAGAAGGAAGAGACGGAAGAATTTTTCTTTCTGTTTAATGACCCTCAGTTTTTATGACCACCATCATCCATGTCAATCATCCCTAATCACCTGATATTGAATCGAGGGAACTCAGGAAACACTAAACTATCCAGATTCACTGGATTGTTCCTTTAAGACTCAGGGGAATACTTCTCTGTCTGCCATGAATTCTGTGCTCAGGACCCTTAGGTAACAATAATAACTCACATTTATGGGAGAGAGAAAAAGGAACTTGACTTCAAGGTCTCCTTGAGATAGAGTCCTTCCCGAGGAAGAAATTCCACCAATGCACCTTCTCTGCAGCTGAGAGTCCTAGAAAGTTGGCTGGGGGCCTGAGAGGATAAGAGATATCCCAGGGTGATGGAGCCAGGGTGAGTGAGAGAGATCAGACCTCTTGACTCTGAGACCAGCTCTTCACTCATCCTGCCTTGGCTCTCTGTAACTCACACATATCTAGTGCTATGAAGTTAGCAAGGTCCTGTGCATGAATTATCTCCTCTCATTCTTATATCTCAATCTTGCAAGATAAATGCTATGAGTCCCAGAGAAAGAAATTTTACATATCTCTTGGTGAGGACTTCAGACTTGTAGTATCACAGCAACAGCTCACATTTACAAAGGAACTTACATTTTTCAAAATACTTCTGACATCTACTGAGACAGCCAGGTGGCACAGTGAAGAGAGAGCTGACCCTGCAGTCAGGAAAATCTGTGTTCCTTGACATTCATTAGGTGTGTGATTCTGGGCAAGTCAAATAACCTCTGTTTCCCTCAGTTTCCCCATCTGTGAAATTTGGATAATAATTGCAACTACCTCATAAGGCTGTTATATAGATGAAATGAGATATTCCTAAAGAACTTTGCAAAATTTAAAATGCCATATAAATACTGGCTTTTTGTGATGTCTTATTTGATATGCACAGCAGGGAATAAGCAGGGAAAATATTATTACCCAGGTATTTGCAATACAGGGGAGACCCCCGCCCGTTAGGAAATGGCTGAGTGTAGAGTCAAACAGGGCTTTTCTGATCCTGTCAATCAATCAATCAACAAGTATTTCAAGAACTCACAATGGGCAGGGCCTAGTGCTGGTGCTAAGTGTGACAAAGACATGAACTGAACAGTCTTTGCCCTCAAGGAGATTACATTCTATCAATATGAATAACATATGCACACATATTCCAAATAATGTAAAAGCTACATTCAAACTATAAACTATAGTCAAACTATATAAAAAAGAAGTAAAAGGCATTTTCTTTGTGGGGGAGGCACTAGGATTTGGGGGAGGAGGAAAAGCCCCAGGTGGGAGATGTGACTGATGATGAGCTTTGAAGAAGAAAAGTGAGAGATTCTAAGTAGAGAAGATGAGGAGGAAATACATTCCAGTCTTGGAGGACAGCCTTGTGAAGCCATGGAGAAGAGAGATGGAGGGAAGATCTTGTGAAAAGAACAGCAAGAGGAAGGCCAGTTTGGCTGGACTGCATTTCTACATGAAAGTAAGCAGTGTATAAGAAGCTTAGAGACTAAGGTCTGAGCTGCTTGTGAAACAGAGGGGTCATATTTTATCCTAGAGCCGCTGGAATTTAAGGATCAGAAGAGTGACCTGGGCAGAGCTGTGCCTGAGGAATATCCTATTGTCAGCTGTAGGGAGCATGGGTTGGAGAAGGGATAGGCTAGAGGCAGGGAGACCAATGAGGAGGCTATTGTCATAATTCAGGTGACAGGTGATGAGGGCCTGACCTCCTCTAGAAGGGCATGGATGTGAGAGATGTGGCAGATCCAGGATCATCCAAGTCTGGTAAGTGATTGGACATTTGGGGAGAGGAAGTAGTTATCGGTGAGGATGAATTTCTATGTCAGGGTGACTGGGAAGATGGGGCTTGATTGGGATAATATTTATAATGTGCATAGCACAATGATTAACTCATAGTAGGTACTTAATAAATTCTCGTTTCTTTCCATCTCCCTGACCCTCTCCCCTACTCTGTCAGAAATAGATAAGTTCAGAATAGGCATGGGCTTGGCGGGGAGAGACAATGACATCTAATTGGTCCTGGAGAGTTTGAGATGACTATGGGTCAGCCACTTCCAAATGGCCAATACTCATTACATGGTGAAGTAAAACAGGAGCTCAGGAGAGAGAACGTGACTAGAAATCACATGCTAGAAATCACAAAGAGGAAGCTTTAGGTTTCATGGAAAGAAAAATAACCTAATAGAGCTATCT